AAATGAAGCCGCAATTATTTTAATCGCGGCTTCATTTCCCTCTTCCGATGTGGCTAATCTACATGCCTCCGTCGAAGGAGGCATGGAGTCTGGACACAGCCTTGGAGAAAACTGAATTTTTGTTTTATGTTTTACAGCGCTTTATTATTTTTGTACTTTTTACACCCAAAAATGTAATCTCCCGCCCAGCTATGATTAAGTTGTTGAAACAAATGTCTTGCAATGGTAGAAAAAAATGCTGTGGGTCTAAAAACAGTAGGTACTTGGGGTACTTACAATTTTTTTTTTAAAGGGGGCACTTATCTTTTTTTTTTTTTTAACAGGGTACTTTATAAGAAAAGGTTGAAAAACACTGCTCTAGACCTTTCACCATTCTTGTGGCTCTTTTCTATACTCTCTCCAATTTCTCCCCATCTTTCTTGAATTGTGGTGCCCAGAACTGGACACAAGACTTCAGTGGAAGCCTAATAGCACAGAGTAGAGAGGAATAATTACTTGTCATGTCTAGCTCACAACACTTCTGTTAATGCTGGGTTCTTTTCTCCTATACTGACAGCTTTCTACCCAGACTCAGTGCTTGTGTGTGGGGATATATTACCTTTCAGAGCTGGCGGGGGACAGGTGTTTTATCTTCCTGGGTTACTGGGTAGGAGCTTGATTCTATTTTCTGTTGTTGAGAGGAGTCCTTAAATATCAACCCACACCGTGGTGGCTGCTGACTCCAGTCAGCAGAAGGATAAAAAGAGCCCATTCCACTGTTCAATACGCTCCTTTATGACCATTACATCTTTCACAAGAGCTGAGGGGATAAACTCTTCCACCGTTACAAATTTCCCTCAGCCTAAGGCAGGGGTGTCCAAACTTTTTTCAAAGAGGGCCAGATTTGATGAAGTGAACATGCGTGAGGGCTGACCATTTTGCCTGACATTCTTTGAACCATTAAAATTAAATGCAAATTAACTATTTTATGCAAAGTTTATTGCAAACGGCATACTTTTCATTTCGTCACATGGATGACAAATCTAAACAGGTGTTAAATCACTCTGCCTTTCATATCTGAAGGCCAGATGAAAAAAAAATCCAGGAAGCTGAAATATATGTCAGGAACATTGTAAAGTACATTACATATTATTGGTAATAAAGGTTGTCTGTCAACTTTTAAGTTCAAAAAATATGAACAGGAACATAACACCAAGTATACATGTTGTGTCCAAATATATTTATAACTGATTTAGACCAACTGACATTAACTGAGATTTTACAATGTATTCATCTCAATACATATGGATTCGTTGGGGGCCATAAAAGATAGATATTGCCAAATTACCTGTGGGGCCGTATTAAACCGGAACACGGGCCGCAATTGGCCCGCACGCCGGACTTTGGACATGCCTGGCCTAAGGCAAGCAACAGGCTGGAGGGGTGTGTAGGCCTTGCTCTAGTGGATTCCATCTTCCTTGACCAGGACAACATGGCTGATAGGCTTTTTCCGTTCTCTTTCCCAGCACCAAGGTCTCTGCCTTCCTGTACAGACCCTTGTCTAAAGTACTTCGGCTCCCAAGTGTGTTTATATTTTAAGCATCTCCAAAATAGCTCCCCCCCCTCTCCCCGCAATCGGCTGCAGAAGAGAATTTTGATGGGTAGTTTTCTGAGAGATGATATTCGTTATTCAGTCTTAATAGGGCTTGCTGGGGCTTTGGCAGCCATAAATCATTTTGGGTACAATAACCAGGATAAAATAGCTTTATAAATGTCCAATTAAAAGAGAATCTCTGTGAATGCAGAACAGAAAATTGTGCTAAATGAGAGAATCCATCCTCATTTTATTTCAATCCGAGGGGGGCATAAATCAGTGATTTCTGGCTTCACTCAGAGTTTACTAAGTGAATTGTGTCTGGAGAGAATAAATCTCCCCTCCTGCCCACTGTGAGGGGTGAAATTGCACACGGGCTGAGACAATTAAATTGGCCGAGGAGTCAATGGAATGAAAGTTACGCCGATGCCTGCCAGGCAGTCTGCAGCTCCTACAGAACACACAACAGGTGGGGGTGTGGAGAGGGACTGGCACCCTCAGGATTACAGCATCTGATGCCTGTGGTAGGGCAGAGGGGAGGGGGGGTTCCAGGTAGGGAGCCCAGAAGTTTGTCAGAAGCTGGGAATGGGTGACAGGGAGGGATCACGTGAGGATTACCTGTTGTGTTCACTCCCTCTGGGGCACCTGGCCTTGGCCACTGTGGGCAGACAGGACACTGGGATAGATGAATGAGAACAGTGTTCTAAGATTGTTAGTACTCCAAGGTAAATTGGGGCTTCTATCTCCCATGCTTGGGGCCAGATTTTTAAAGATGTTCAGGACCCCTAAGATCCCAGAGACTCCTATCCCCAGGACCGCCTACCCCCAGGAGCCATTAGCCCTTGGGTGTAGAGAGCTTGGAAGACCTCAACCCTTCCCGAAAGGCATTTAATGCCAGGCTGAACAGGGCCCACATCATAGTGGAGGGTGCCTTCGGCCAGCAGAAGGCCCGTTTTAGATGCCTCCTCACCCGCCTGGACTTCTCAGAGCAGAACATTCTGCACGTGGTGGCAGTGTGCTGTGTGCTGCCTTAGGGACAGGGGTGGCCCTAGGGAAAATGGTGCCCCAGGCAAATGCATGTTTTGGTGCCTCTGGCCACCGTGGGATTCCTGAGATCCCCCCATCTCTAGATCCTGCTGCCTCCTCTAAATGCAGGATGTGTAGTGAAAAAGGAGCCTAAGCTCAGCCAAGCACAAATTAACTGTGGCTGGGCAGCCGGCGAGCAGTGGCTGCTAGCCAGGCACCCAGCTCTGAAGGCAACACCGCCGCCAGCAGCAGCACGGAAGGAAGGGTGGCCGGGTCTATGGTGTATTGCCACCTTAGCTCTGTGCTACTGCAGGCTCCTTGCTGTCATGGCCATTCCGCAGCTCCCTGGCCACTCCTGGCTCACCAAGGACACCGGTTCAGGTGTTGAGAGATGGGGGGCAACGTTAACCATGATTTCAGGGGCGGATTAGGCACCTGGAAGCTCTCCGGCCCGCCGCCAAGCTGGAGCGCCCCTGCCCGCGGCGTGCCCGGCCAGTCCACGTTGGGTTGATGGGGGGCTGCTCCAACCCCTGCCAGTTAACCCTTCGCATCCCTGACCGAGACAGCCGATTATTCCATCTCTGCTACAAGCCAGCACCAAGCACTTTGCCACTGGGATGTGGGTGTGATTCCTTTAGCAATTTTCTCTCAGCCTTTCCTTTTATTAACAAACCTTTAGATGTTAGAGCCTAAAGGACTGGCCCAGAGGCTCTTTTGGGGATGATCCGAGGTATAAATTGGGTATGATCTGGGACTGGGTCTGGAAGAAGCTGTTTGGAGACGGTGAGATTGGTTTTCATCACCTCTCATCTCCGTAAGGAGCGGGGCTGGTGTGGCACAAGAAAACTGGACTGTCCAAGGGGATTGCTTGTGTGACTACTTGCTAGTCAGTGTGGTGAACAGAAGTGCTCGGTGTGGCTGGCTTGGTACCTTAAAGAGAACCCTCAGTCTTAGACTGTAAGTAACCTTGTCTCTGAGCAATTCACCCTGATTTGACTCTCTTAGCAGAACCCCCAGAAATCTCCTGTATTACAAATCCAGCTAGATATTCCCAATCCCAAGCCTTGATTTATCCCTTCTGGAGTGTTCACGCATATCAGAAACCCAGGGTTTGATTCTTCGTACACTATCTTTAGTAGAGATAAATACTAACAAAAATCTGCTTAAAATCAGCTTACTTTCTCTAACAGATACACTGTGTTACTTGCATTGTCTGCATTATTTTAATCAATTGTTTCTCACTCCACTAAAAAACTCATGATTCATGATTAAGGGTTTGGTTTTTTTTTATTAAGAATAGGAATTTATTTTTCCAATTATTTTTGGCATTTATGTTTGCATGATTGCAACGGGTATTTAACTCACTGAAATTTGACTGCATCATCATTATTAGTATTAGACTTGGCGCCACCTTTTATTTTTGTAAGAATTTTAAGTTATTTTACAGATCTAATTCAAAACACCATTTGAAAATAAGCGACCTTCACCTGCCCAGTGTCTAAAGCTATGTGTTCATCTATCTCTTTTTAAACCGACACTGCTAAGGTTAGTACAAGCTAAAGTTACATTCTAGAAGGATGCTGTTATTTGGTGCACCATTTTAAGTGGGGAATGACAAAGCACAATATAGTAATACAAGGGTAATTACTGCAGACAAGACGGGTTCAGCATTTTAGAACTCACTACTCAATGAATTAAATTGAAGCATGAGAGAAATGGAGTGCACAGGCCAGTCAAAACACTCAAATAACAAAGGACAAAATTGCAGAGAATAGATGGGTCTTAAGCATGTTGACAGAAAGTACCAAAAAGTAACAACAACAAAAGGAGAAAGAGACTCTGTGCGTGTGTGTGTGTGTGAGAGAGAGAGACTGTGTGTGTGTGTGTGTGTGTGTGTGAGAGAGAGAGAGACTGTGTGTATGTATACTGTCTCTTTACACAAACAGTCCCCCCCACCAGAGAGACTCTGTGTGTGTGTGTGTGTGTGTGTGTGTGTGTGTGTGTGTGTGTGTGTGTACGTATACTGTCTCTTTAAGCAAGCAGTCCCCCCCACACACACATTCCCCAACCCCAACTCACTGGTGACTGGGTAGATGAGCGAGGAAGGGGGACTCCCTAACATCAGTCCTTCCCCTCCACCAACACCTCCCCCCCCATACACACACGCTTTATGCAGCATACAGGAGGCAGCCACTGGGTCGGGAACAGCTTGGCCTAGGGTAGCTCTGTGGGGAGGTGGGAGCAGCAACGGAGCAAGGTGGAAGGAACAGGGGAACCCTGTGACATTTGGTGAAGCTGTCCTGAGGATGGAGCACCGGATGGGTATCTCCCCTCACCCACCTGGAGCCTCCCTGTCGGCCTGGCCACCACCCAGCCCTGTCTCCTGAGGTGTGTCATTAACCCTCCCTTAAAATCACACTGTGTTAATTTGTTTTGAGTTAATCTCATGCCTTACTGTCAATTAATTGATAGCCCCAGTCGGAAAAGCTTGAAAACTAGAGAGAAGAGCCCCTGAAATCTAAGAAACCAGGAGGCAAAGGAAAATAGCTCCCTCTTATAAAAGATGCTTAAGTCAGTCTCGCGATTATGGGGCACCTGAGCCATTGTTTCTGAAAGCTCGGGGCTGGCAAGACTGTAATGCCAATGTGTGGTCATTAAAATGTATACGTTTCCCATCTCCTGGCTCTGCTTTAGAAACCTCCGTGCACGCCATAGCCATATACATTTATTCCCTGTTGTCCGATCCTGAAGTTCTGCTTCTGCCTATCTGAGCTCTGACATTCTACACTCCGGCTCCTGATGAAGGGGATGATTTTCCCAGTGAAAGAGGCTGTGAAAGTAAAGACTGGCTCTCCGCCATAATGTAAAACTTGATAAAATGTAACTTTCCCCCCTTCGTAATCCAGATAAACCCCTATCTTACGGGAGCCAGAAGGTAGGTCCAGACGAGTCTTAGGGGAGGTGAGGGCGCAGCATTCATTCGGTGTACGCTCCAAAGCCCAGATCCCCTCCTCTGGCGTAGGGCTTATCACGCCCTGATCTACCGCAGTCTGTGTGGCAATGCCCAACACACATCGATCGTTGGTCTTCACCTCCACTTCCCAGTAATAGGTCCCTGAGGTGAAGCCCTTGGAGCCCAGCACGCAGGGAGCAGGGTAAAACCTCTTCCGTTTCTCCAGAAATGCCGGGTGTTGGTATTCCTGTATCACACTCTGATCTGTGGACACGAGGTAAAAGGGATTTCTCAGGTCTGGCTCCACAGTGGCCTGCACTGCAAAGGGGGAGAAAGGGGGAGGAGAGTATTACGGTCTGTCCTCACTATAGAGTTATCCCGGGTGCTTAGACTGCTGCTAACCCTGATGCCCTCCTGGCCAGACACAAAACCCCCTCCCCTGAGCTGCGGGGGGCTTTCCGCCCAGGCCAGCTGGCTGGGATGGAGAGCTGAGCCACAGCCTGGGTTCCACGTTCGCTCGGGCTGGTGCCTGGCCTGACCCAAGCCACAAAGTCCGAGGCCAGAAGTAGCCAGCAGGTCACATAGTCGGAGCCCCTGTATATCCCAGTGCCACCCAGCACCTGCCCATCTAGCCTCAAGCAGCACAGCCCAAGCAGAGAGAAAAGATAAAGGTTTATAAAACATTTATTAATAACTTGGGTGCCATAGTGGCACATCCAAACAAGCCACATGAACTCAGGACTGGTGCACAACACAAAATCCATTCTGCTCATGGGAGGCAACTCTTAGCTACATCTACACTGGTGGCTTCTTGTGCAAGAACATCTTGCGCAAAGGTTCTTGTGCAAGAAGTCTTGTGTAAGAAAACATCCACACTGCCATGTGCGAGATGTGCTTTTGCGCAAGAGCATCCATGGCAGGGTGAACACTCTCTTGAGCAAGAAAGCTCCGATCGCCATTTTAGCCATAGCGGTTTTTTACGCAAGAAATCCCTGCTGAGAATCCACACTGCCCTCTTGTGCAAAAAAGCTTACACCTGTTAGAAAAGAGCGTTGCTCTTGCACAAGACACTCTCTCTTATCACACCATACTGTAAATTTCCTTGCGCAAGAGCAGGCGGGCAGTGTGGCTGCTCTGTGGGTTCTTGCGCAAGAACGGCCCTTCCCCCAGCTTCTCTGCCCCCAAGTTAATGTCACGTGGATAAATCTCTGTAATATTATCATTTCTCCTATAACTTTGTATTAAAAGAAACTTTCCTTTATATATATAGATAGATAGATCTTGTAAGAAAACTGTCTTTTGAGCTCTCCCCTTTCCTTGATTGCCCTGTTGAAATGAATGAGGTGTGCATGGAGAATGAAAGGTGAACACCTCCAGCAGCAGTTGCAAGGGTGGAGAAGGTCTGGGAGCCAGATCCAAGCCAATACCTGGAAAGTGAGCTCATGAAGAAGATTGGACAGACAGACACCTTGGGAGTCAAGAAGCAAGAGCCTGCCCTTGGAAGAACTCTTTGAAGCAGCATTAAGAAAAGCAAGGAGATGATTAATTGGCTGCATGAGAGGGATAAATAGGAGGCATCTTGCAGAGGGACCCCGGATTTTCGTCTTGTCAACATGGGAGCATCAATCCGGATCGGCAGAAACCCCCTCCCCCATCTAACTCACCTAGCCAGTGCAGTTAGGGGGAGCAACGTTTGGTAACAACAAGACGGAGTGTGTTTGTGTGTGTGAGAGAGTGCATGAGGTGATGTGTCATATGCATATGATAAGTATTGATTATTCTATGTGTGATCAATAAATGTGGTGTGTTGCCTTATCCCCCTGAAAAAGATCCCGAGTACTTCTTTTAAGTTCAACACGATCTCCTTTCTGAAAACACCACCTCTGGCCCTGCAGTCCCCTCTGTGCTTTGCCATTTTCTTAGCAGCTACTGGCTGATCCAGCTGGCGACCTCAAAATAGGCCTGGTTCAGACAGGGTTCCTCGACTGAGAGCTCAAAATGAAGGGCCGTCTGCACAGAGCAAGCAGTATTTCTGGGACTCCCTGCACTGTGCCGTAGGTGCTCATACAGGCTAGAGGCCTGTAGTACAATCCAGCTTTACCATAATAGCGACTACACTATGTATAAAGAATGCAATCCTGGATATAACACTACGATAGTATAAATCCCCCCTGAAATATGTTATCTGGTAAGGCAGGCAAGCAACTTAATCGTATAGGCTACAACCGGGCGTGTTTAGATTGGAAAAGCAGAGAGACACTAGGGACATAAGAGGGGCCGTCAAACACTTCCCAGGCTGCCAGAGAAAGGCGGCAGAAAGTTGTTCTCTCTTCCCACACAGGACAACTTTGGGGTTGGTCCTGCCTTGGGCAGGGGGCTGGTCTTGATGACTCCTGAGGTCTCTTCCTGCCTTGGGATTCTATGATTCTGTGACAGGGCAAGAGGGAATTGTCCAACTGCACAGCAAATGGAGATGAAGTCTCAGGAGAAACTTCCCAATGGCAAGCAGAGGGGGACAATGGGACAGATGCCTTGGGAGGCACGGAAGGCCCATTGCTGGCAGTTTTCAGAATGAGGCAGGACGCCCACCTATCCAGGGACGATTTAGACCAAACACGTCCAGCCTCTTGGCAGAGTCAGACTAGCTGGACTTTTTAGTCCCTTTTGACTCTGTGGCACTGTGATTCTACAATGTAAAATCTTAGTGGGGGCCAGACTGGGTCAGGGGCTCGATACGTGGATAACCAGGTGACACGTCATGGCCTGTGTCATACAGGAGGCCAGACTGGATGATGTCATCGTCCTTGTCACAGTAAAGCCTTGGAACAGGTCGATACAGGAAGTCGACCCGACGTTTGCATTTACGGTGCCTCACAGAACGGACACAAGGGGACATTTTCTGAAAGTGCCGTGAGCAGAAATCAGCCTGGCCCGTGTTGTTCCAGGGGGCCCTGCCACCCCCAGGCTTTCCAGCAGGGAAGTCAGCCAGCAGCCATCTCACCTCCCCGCTGAACAGCCAGAGCCTGAGATGTCAGACGGGAGGGTCAGGCTCTGTCAAGTGACACAAGGCCGGCTGCTCTGCTCTGTGTGTCGGTCTCACTCAAGGGGACCTTTGCCTTAGTGGGACTGGACCCAACTATGGGCCAGGGCCTCAGATTTTGCACATCGACTGACCACTCCCACCCTGCCGTGTCCCTGCACCATGGACATGCAGCCACCTTGGGGCTGGAGCGGGTGAGTGGGCGTAGGCAGGGGGCACAGAGGGACGTTGTGTGATACTGGAGCAAACTCATCCCCGAGGAGAAGGTCCCTGAATGTCTCTGAAAAGTAAATACAACAGACTCACCATCAGTTGTTGGCCCATCTGGGTGAGCAGGGAAGTTCTCAGGAAGAGACGGTGCCTGTGAGCTTCAAGAGAGAAGGGTCAGGCGGCTGCGTCCCCACCTCTCTGAGCCCGGCACTGGCAGGAACACGCCGTGCCGAGAGCTGGCAGAGGAGAGGGCATTCTTATAGCACAGCGCTGGGCCAGCCCAGGGGGGATCCCTCAGCCTCTGGGAGAAGCAGCATCTGGATGCAAAGAGGCTGCAGACCAGCCTGGCCTGGGCTA